TGTCCATAGGAATTGTATGGTTATAATTGTCTGAGTTTCGTTCTTAATTTGCTTTCAAAAAACATTTTACATCAATTTCCCTATTTGTTCTTTATTTTCATATTGTTTTTTTTAATAATTTTTTAAGTCGGCAATTAATTCAATATTTGATTGACTGTTTGTTGATATTGCATCAGAGGCGATTAATGTTTCATGGTATCGTGTTTGTTTTTTGTGTGTTTTTTTGTTTGTTTTTTATATTATTGGTAAAAATTGGAAATACGTACTAATCGGTTATCACATTTGCAAGTGTAAAAAGCTATTTTGATCATCAACCGCCGTTTATTTTCGTGTTTTTCTATTTGATTTTGGTTTTTAGAAGTTTCGATTGTTCCTTGTTATTGAAATACAGAAGTAACGAAACTGGGCGCTCCTTTGGTTTTTGTCTTATAAGGACCTGTTTTAACCTGAAAAATCCCAAAAAGTATAATTCAGAGAAATTTTGGCATGGTTTTCTTTCAAAAATGATATTATATTGGCCTGAAATAAGAGTTTTCCACCCTAAAATAAATCAGTGAATAACTTTTTTACCAGTTAGCTTTGTGTTTTCAAGTTTAAATAAGAAAAAATTGAATTAAAAAATAGTAAAATAACGGGAAAAAAACAAATAATTTACTTGAAAACAATTTTGTTATTCGGCATTTTGTTATAAAATATTGGTAAACGCCTGATCGTGTTAATAACTACAAAAAGTTGTAATAGTTTTTTTCAACCATTCATAATAATTATAAAATTCTATATTTAAGTTTTTAGACAGTTTGTGTGATTAATTATTTATTAAATACAGTAAAACCTCCCAAGAGCGGGCATGTGTGGTAATTTTGTTCTCTCAAGAGCGGGCATTTTTAGCCAATCAAATTTTAGTTACCACTCGATAGAGAACTCTATTTATAGTTTCAGTCTAAAAAATGCCCGCTCTTGAGAGAACCCGCTCTTCAGAGGTACCCTTCTTTTAAGGTTTTACTGTATTATTTTTGTTTGTTTTGCCTTTTCTTATAATAATAAATATTGAGTTTAACTAAAAAGAAAATGATTTAATTAACAAAAAAAACAAATTAAAAAATTACAACAAAATGAAAAACGGTCACTGTGGGGGTTGAACCCACGGCCTTCTCCTCCGGAGGGAGATGCGCTTCCACTGCGCTAAGTGACCATTTTAAACATAATTACTAATTTGTTTAAAATGTTTCTTAAATTTTTAAACACAACTATAGATTATTAAAAAAATCAGTTGTGTTGTTTTTATGTCATCGGTAATAACCAAAGGGATATAAGAAAATTGTATAATTTTTCTGATGATTCTAAATATCTTACACAAAATTTGTTTCAATTTACTTTTTATGATTATAATCAAAAAATCATTCTTAGAAACATGTGGTAATATTTAGAAGTATTAACTCAATTAAACTCTGGACACAAAGTCCGACGTATCGGACTTTCGGATTTGTTTTTCTGCTATTTTTTAAAATTTTTATTGAAATAATTAATGAATTATGTCAAGAAAAACGGGAAATGAGCTAAATGTTATGAGCATTTATAATTCTTATATTATTTTTGATGTGTTTTTTCTTCAATTATTTTTTTGTTCATCCCACAAAAACGTTCATTAAAACATTCATTGTTTTCACAAATTATAAATAAAGTAATTACTTTGTTTTGATAACTAAAAATAGTTTTTTAGCATTAACAAAAATATGAATTTTTGATTATAATTGTTGTTTAACAAAACAATAATTATAATACATTTTATTTTAATCACAATAATTGATAAAAAGTGTTCCATTTACAACTGTCATTATTGTTATATATTTTTGTGATGAAACAATAATGTAATTTGCTTTGTCTTTTCATGTCATAATTAAACAAATTCTATAATAAATTAATAATGGAATGATTAAATATTATAAAAGTCAAATAAAAACAAGTGATAATTGTTAATTTTTTTTATAATAAAAAAGTATTTTTTATTCCAATTAATATTTCGAATCACCTATATTTCATTTATAAAAACAAAATTAATCAATTATAATATATTTACATTTTTATAATTAATATTTTAATATTTTCAACATAACGAAAATAAAAAATTTTTGTTACTTGTGGTGTTTTAATTAATTTCATGTGTTTCCATATAAAATTTTGATACACTTTTTAGTTTAATTTAATAATAAAATTATAATTAAGTCGTGTTTTTCGTTGTTATCGTAAAAATCAACGAATTGAAAAAAAATAATTTTATTTTTATTTTTTAAATGTTATAATATTGATTAAATTTGCGATTTTTGTATAAAATTTGGGTATGAAATTGATTTTTCGTGTTTTATAAACCAAAATATTTCATGATTTTGAAATAAGGAAATTGTAGTGTAAGTAGAAAATTAAAAATCAAAAAATAAGACGCAAAAAATCGAAATAAGGGAAATTAATGATAAGTAAAACAGGTATAAATTTCGACAAAATATATTAATATCCCGAAAAACAAAAGAAAAAAATACTGTAATAATGTGTCGGACTTTATGGCCCAAGTTTATAACTTGATTAGAACAATTTAATAATTAAATTGAAATCCCATAATAGATAATTTTTATATTACTTCATTTTATAAGATAAAATGAAGAAAAATTTAATTGAATTCTTCTTATGGTGGGTTTGGTTTAGTCAATTTTCAAAATAATTTAATATTTATAATTTAATCGTATTTAATTTCATATAAAATGATTGTTTAAATACTTGATTAATGAAACAATGGAATAAAATGAATAAATATAATAATGTCTTAAATAAACTAGTAATTTACTAATAAATACTAATAAACAAATTTAAAATAGTGTTAATTATAATTTAGAATTATTATTGATATTTTATTGCTGTTATTTATTAACAATGTTTTTTATTTTTTCTTGTTGAAATCAATCGTAAATATACAATTAATATTATTATCATTTTAGTTAATTTGTTAATAAAATTAAATAATGATGTTTTGTTTGTTTAATTAATAAAATTGTATTAATAAGTATTAAAAATATATTATCGTTAAAAATATAATTTTATAATACTGTACTATAGTTATTTTTAATTTATCTATATTTTAATAACTGTTGAATAATAATTAAAATTATTAATTATAAAATATAAATACTATAATATTAAACTAGTTTTTATAGCATCAAAATTACTTGTTTTTACTATTGTTTGTATGATATAACAATTTAATAAATAAAATGTTATATAAAAACAATTTTGAATAACATTTATTCTGCTCCTTTGTTCTATAATTGTCACTTGCAAAAGCCGAAAAAAGATTTTAATTATCGGTTTAAAAAAATGTGCAAAAAATTTGCCACAAAAAAATAAAAAAATAACACAGAAAAACGGAATTGTGCCGACCCATGTATTGGATTTTTGGCGATAACAATTTTTTAAAAATACTAATCAACAAACTTTTATAAAAATATACAAATTTATTCTTACAATAGTATTATAATAAATATGAATAATTTTGCACAAAATAAAAAGTTGTTTAAAATAAGTTTTGTTTTTTTTATTTTAATCAACCTAATACTTCACCGACTATATACTCTTTTAATGATACAACACCCAATTTTCAAAATCAAACAAATGAAACGTTTTTGCAACCATATAACAGCAATATGGCATATCTACAGTATGGTTACAATTATTATATAATAACTCAATGTTTACCATTTCAACATTATTATTATTTATTTATATATTCTAATTCATTTCAAACAATACTACAAATCCAACGTGTTAATAATTTATTTGAATCTAATTCGAATGTTAGTAATTTTCAAACAAACGAAGTTATACCACAAATACACAACACATCACAACAAAGAATCGAACAAAACGCAATCAATCACAATGAAAAATTTCCCGAAATGTATGACATTACAACTATTATTAGCAGTAGAAATTGTGCATTACCTGTTATTGGAGGTAT